ATTATACATGTAATATTAGTTATTCGAAAAAAAAAAAATCGAAATCTTGCCGGAATTTGCGAGATTTTGGGCGAGCCACCGATTTTGCGAATTCAACCACCCACATCTCCTTAAGCATTTCACCTTCACACTTTCAATCAACCATCTCCTTCTCGTTTCTATTATGCAACTCACAACATTCGTCTGAGAGGTTTCAGTGAGAGAGAGAACGACAAGCACAAACCCATAGTTTTTTAGTCACAACGTGCTTCGATCTAGGATTTTAGGAGTGTACAAAGTTGAAAAATGAGTGTTTCTTAAAATACTCAAGCTATATGCTACTCTTACTTTCCGGGCACAAATGACAATGAAGGCTGAAATAACCATAGAAGTTAAGATAGAACAGTAGTATGCATTATTTTCAGTTAATAATTTCGTAGGTGGCCTTTTCATTTTCGTACTCAAAGATTATGTTAAGATTTTCTTTTGACGATATTATTTCTATTTCTTGTTTCAATTAAACATATAAGTTGATGACTTCGTTTCAAAGGTTTGGAACGGATAAGCATCACATTAGCATTTTAAGTGATATAATCTCCCAACATCAAACATTAGAGCTACAAATGGTAACATTACAAGAATACTTCATTAAATTCCCCAAATTTCCACACACGCCGACCATAATTTTTCATTCTCTAGAAAAGAAAAAAAAAAACAACAAAAGGTTGGTAACTTTTTGCTTTGTTTTTCCTTTTCCCCTTTGGCTTAGGGTCCACGAAAGTATTAAGACTTCTTCAAAATTGTCCCAAAAACCCCTTCATCCCTCCAAAACAATAAGCCCTAACCTTATTTTTTATTCTTAAGAAATGAGATTGAAGAACGTTACTGAGCTTGTCAGCTTGTTTTTTCTTCTTCTTTTTCTTCTTCCCTCCACCGTCGTCGTCGATACCACCACCACTGCTGCCACCCCCGCCGCCGTTACCTCCGTTGTCCACCCCAGACCCCACCCCCACGATGGTGGCGCCGCCGTGTTTGCTTCTCAGAAGAGACGAGTCTACACCGGTCCAAATCCTCTTCATAACAGATAAGTAAGTGAAGAAGGGACAAAAAAACGCATTAAAATTTGTTCTTCTTCATATATTTTTTTAATTTCTTCCCCATTTTCCCTTTTTTTTTTTGAATTTTTGCTGAAAGTGAAATATTTTTCTTCATGATCTTTTTCTTGATTGTACTTTGTTGGAATGTTGAAGTTATAATCTTCCATATATATATGTAAATGAGATTTTGTTGATGAAAAACTATTTAAAATATTGTATGTTTGTAATTAACAAGATTGAAATCAATGAATATTTTCATTAGGCTTTCTTAATTCTTTGATTTTTCTATTTTCAGCTTATGAAATTTGATTGCACGCACAATTTAGGACGTAGGATCTCACAATTCATCGGGTAGGGGCCAGCGTCCTCGCTCTCATATCGCTCAGTGTCTGGTTCTAATACCATTTGTCTGTTTTGGCTCCTTACGTATCATCATCGACCTCACGGTTTTAAAACGTGTTTCTTGAGGAGAAATTTTCACACCGAATTTCCATAAGCTTGAATTTTGAATGTTCTTGAATCTGATTTTTTTTTTCTTTCTTTTTGAAATCTAAAAAAGCTATTCCCATCCATTTTAATTTCTTTGTAAAGAATGATTATCAAAGGACCCACTTCTTGTATCATATAATTTTCTCCCACTCTCATCCACCTTCCACCATGTCATGTCCACCTCTTTGTCAAAAAAAAAAAAAAAAAAAAAAAA